CTGTGCCCCCGGAGCCCAGGAGGGGAAGTGCCCGGCCGGCGGCGCAGGGTCCGGAGGCACGGGGGCTGCCCGAAGCCGGTAGCACTCGGGCAGCTCGGCTCTTAAACAGAGCCGAAGAGTCAGGGGAGGAGCACAGCAGCCGCGGGAGGGGAAGTGCCTGGCCGGCAGTATTTTTCCCGGACATGTTCGGCTTTTTGGCAATTTCTCCTGGCCGGGGGTTTGATTAACAAAAAGCCAGACATGTCCGGGAAAAACCAGACGTATGGTAACCCTATTTCATGAAATCCCTCAGTGGCTGTGATCGAGTGGACTAGGCCCAAAGGTCCCCTGCTGGAGGCCTCAGAGAGGAGTAGAAGAGAAGTCCTCCAAGCGGCCTAGAGTGGTTGCAGGGAAGCAGCCAATGAGAGAGGCTGCAGGGAGCAGCCAATCAGGGCCCAGCAGGGCCATATAAAGGGAGCTGCAGAGTAAAGCAGCAGTTAGGTGCTGCCTGGAGCTGGTGGAGAGAGGGTTGTGTTCCTGGCTGAAAGAGCAGAACCATTGATAACCCAGTGTGGGTAAGGGCTGGGGGAGCTAAGAAGGAGCTTCTGGCTGGCTGCTGGGATTGAGTAAGGACTGAGTTCAGGGAGGGCTGCAAGAAGACAGTGTCTCCAGGGAGGAAGCCCTGGAGGTATGGCCCCATACCAGGACTGGGACATGTTAAAGACTGTATACCCCAGAAGGGGTTTGCTCTGTTTCATATTCAGACACTGTGTGTGACTTGGCCAGAGGGCTGAGTCACTGAAAAACTGCCTGAGAAACCACTGATGAGTCACCATAAACTGAGACTGCAGACACACCTGACCAGAAGGGGCTGCTTGTGAGAGGTGTGTGCCATGCCCCCATCACAGAGGCTATGCTTCGCCAGTGTTGAATGGGGTGGCCTTCAGTAGAACCCACAGTGAAGTAGGAAGTTGTCTTGGTTTCTTGAAGGAATAGATAGCACGTTCCCCTAGTAGCCCTGAACCAATAGCCCCATGTGGTATAAGAGGGCTCTGGGGGTTACACCTTTCTGAGGAGATGGAAAACTAGGGTCCTAACCCAGGGGTGGGCAAACTATGGCCTGGGGGCCGCATCCAGCCTGTCAGATCTTTCAATCTGGCCCTTGAGCTGCTGCCGGGGAGTGGGATGGGGGACTTGCCCCGCTCTGCACCTGCCCTGGCTCCTGGAAGCAGCGACTTGTCTCCCCTCTGGCTCCCACACATAGGGGCAGACAGGGGGCTCCACATGCTGCCCCTGCCCCAAGTGCCAGCTCTGCAGCTCCCGCAGCCAAGGGGGGACATGCTGTTGCTGCTTCCAGGACATGCTGCTTGAGATAAGCACTGCCTGGAGCCTGCACCCCTGACCTCCTCCTGTGCCCCCCCTCCTGTGCCCCATCCCCCTGCCCTCTGAACCCCTTGGTCCCAGCCTGGAGCCCCCTCCTGCACCCCAAATCCTTCATCCCCAGCTGCACCCACAACTGGAGCCTGCACCGCCCAGAGCCCCCTCCTGCACCCTGAGCTCTTCATTTCTGGCCCCACCCCAGAGCCCACACCCCCAGTCGGAGTCCTCATCCCCTCCCGCACCCCAATCCTCAATTTCGTGAGCATTCATGGCCAGCCATACAATTTCCATACCCAAATGTGGCCCTCAGGCCAAAAAGCTTGCCCAGCCCTGTCCTACCCACTTGTCACCACTGATGATCCCATGCTGTTTTTCTAGCGCATAGGGTGTTTGCTCTGATGGTGTGGCCAAATTTCTGCTCATGCAAACACCCATGAGTTTTAGGGGTGCCCAAAATCTGAGTAAAGGTCCAGCTCTGAATTTAGCAAATGGCACTAATCTTTATAATGGGGATAACAGCGACTTCCTTTATCAAGTGCTTTGAGATCTACTGATGCAAGTAAGCGCTAGGTACTATTATTATTTATAAGGGCCCAAACCCGGGATTTGAGAGGTGCACACACATACGCCTGCACCGAAAAACTTGGGAGTGGTCAGAATCTGAACAT